CTTACAGCACCTGATATTCCCAATTGGTCAGCCATCTAGGTATTGACCAGGACCGACGTTGCTTAGCTTCGATGATCATATGGCAACCAGTGTTTTATCGTGATTTGGCCGTAAGTCTTCTTACAGATGAAGAAGAGACTTGAGGCAACACAGATATGATGTTACAGAAGGATACTGAGAATACAATGGACGGAGAATGTGATCAACTGGGACATTTTAAGGGAAATGGTAGCAAAAAGGATACTTGTATTTGAATCAGAAAGAAAGAGTTCACAATTTAGTAGCACATAATGAGGAAAGAGTACTCGGTGAATTTGACACTTACAGAACTTGAAGACGAGAAGGACGGAGGGAAAACGTCGATTGACATACCTAATGAGCTTGTGTAAAGAGATGTCAAAAAAAAGGACAAACATTGCTAAGAGCTACAAAGAAGAGGAAGTTGTGGAGAAACATGACCGCCCACGTTATAAGCATTGAGAATCATATCTGATCCCTTCCAATATCTTTCTTCAGGATTTTCAATGTAATTTCATGGAAAATCATTGAGAGTATTTCTTTTCTATAATAAAAAAAAAAATCTGCAACGATTACCTATTAAAATAATTTTCGATGCATTTCTGTAGCAAGATAATTTATCATTTATTTATACTAGTTTTAACCCGTGAAAATTTTACGGCTTTCCTATTTGAATTTTTGGTTGAATATTAATTCTTCAGTTAATGATTGAATAAGCTTATAGCGATTTCTACGACAAAATCCGTAGAAATTCGTCTATCGCATCGTTAAATATTTGAGCTGAACAACTTTAACAAAAAAATATTGCAATTAAAAACTATAAACATGAATTTTGGTCGTTATTTTAAGATGTACGTACAAATGAAAAGATTTGAAATTGGCAACTTCTTCCATTTCACTGAAACAGACGTTAAACACTTCTATCTTTCCTTCTTTCTTTCATTTTCTCACTTAAACCAAGTAGCATGTTTGTTGTGTCTTTTGTCGATCAAAATGGAGTAGTACGTTATTTATAAGATATTAGCAGGAAACGTTAGATATTTCTTTCTTTTTTTCAGTGAAACCAAGTAGTGCATCCGATATGTCTTTTGTTTTTACACGCGATCAGAACGGACTAGTTCATTATTTATGAGATACTGGCAGGGCGTAATGGTCGTGCGAACTGATGAACTAACGGAGAGAGGGGCAAGCAAAATTATTATATGAGTATGCACATGATAGTGCTATTCTGGCGTTACTGTAGGTAAATTAATACCCGAGCATTGACAACCCTTCTTGATTTTCAAGTAATGTTTATATTAATATTACTTGCAATGCATCTCTTGTCAAACAGAGCGTGAAACAATTGCATCGTTTGTATAATAGTTTCAAAATAAATATAGACAAATAAATAGTTAAATATAGATAATTAGAACTGTATGTTGAGACAATAATTTCGGATTCGTCTTCGCTGTGGAATACAGAAGCGATGCCACGCCATACTACGCTAGGCGTTGTTACTCTCGTTTTTTGTAACAAGCAGTTTTTTTTTTCTTGAAGTGTAGAGCTGTTAGTACCACGTCACCTGGTTCTGAATTCTAAACTGCCCGGTAACGAAGAAATTCCTACTCTGCTGTTAACCCCTAGCTGAGAAAAAAAAAATGGATTCATAACATTCCTAATTGTATCAGTGGGAAAGTAAACGCTGGATTCTACTGGAATTTGAACCTCGTTATATCTGTTCCAAGTTCCCCGCCGATAATTAATATGTTTCACAAATATGGTACCTGTTACTAAGTGCATCCTGCCTGTGATAGCATAGCAACTCGTATCCAGATATCAGTAAAAGAGTAAAATGCTTTATAATTGAATTTCGCATCATGAATCCCGCGGCCTATTCGTTCCGTAGGGGTTCTACGTCTACTGCGGCTATGACCAAAATTGATGCGTCTAGGGCAATACAGCTTGACGGAACCAAGCCTTCTTCAGGCTGGTTTTGAATTCAGAGTTTTCCCTCTCCAGGACTTGTTGCCGCCCTCAAGGCAAGAGAGGCCAGAATGCTTTTCTATTTAACAAATAGCCCGAGGAAAGTGGATTCGCGCCTTTATCCAAAAGGCATTAGCGTGAAATGAACCAAACAGCCACCGGCCGTGATTTGAACTCGGTTCACCGATTTCACTCTACGCTGACTATTCCCGCATTCATTCTAACGCATTTAAGGTAAATATTATTACAAAAAATGTATATTTGCTGCCTAAATACACAGAATAATTTAATTTAGATCGTGAAATACTTTATAATGTTTGTTCGTATTTGTTTTTTCCAGTATTTAGCTTTCGTTCGCGTGAATGGAAGTTTTGATGCGTCGGTTTAAAAAAAAACCTACCTTGATAGAAAGAGTTACATCAACAACGATTACTGTATGTTTTAGCAACGCATTCCTATAGTAAAATATGACGTTCTTTTTGTTCAATATTTACAACTTTCGCTAATTATGTAATTACGAAAACTGATATATTTGCCTATCAGTGACTTTAAATTATCAAATAAATAATTCAAATAGAATTACAGAACGAGCCAGACATAAAAATAAAAAAAAAAACTAGAACGCTATAAAGAAATTAAACTTCAATAATTTAATTTAATATTAAATATAGTTGCATCTGTATGCTGATTAGGTACGTCTTTTAACATTGTGTAATGAAAAATATAAGTTTCAATAGCAAATATTTACATACTGGTCAAGTCACCACTTAAAAACCGAAAACATCTGATGGTCTTAACGTTTATCATAGTCCCTGGTCGATGTCCACTACATTTCTAAAATGTCGAAACACGCATGCGCTGTCGTATGCATAAATGACAAGCGTTTCATTACACATAGCGAAAGCAGGATGTTTATTTTATTTTTATTTATTTATTTTTTGTATTTTAGGACATTTAAATATTAAATGTTTACAAACTTACACTCATGCATTGGAAGGAGAAAGGGTATTGCAGATGGAAATATAGCATTTTATAATGCTTAGTCAAAGTAGAGCATATCAAATAAAATAGACTGAAACTGCACGTAAAGCAAAAACAAAACAAAACAAAGGTAGTAAACGGGGACAGATGATCTCCCAAAAAGCCCGAATATTAATACGCGTGTACAAATGTGTAAGCAAGATTCCTAAACAATAGTACAAGCGGATAAATGATAGCCGGGATTGGAATAGCGAAGTAATTTCGTTACTCTTTTATGCCATTATCGTTAACACGACTACATCTTCTTTCAAGTCTCGTAAAAGCTCGTTTTCTATCGGCGTATAAACACGAGAGTACCTCAAAAGCAGACCTTGCAAGTGTAAGAAATTACTGACCGTAGCGGGCCACGAGCATTAAGTTTTAAAATCCGTTATGTCTTTTCTTTGGTCTTGAGACGAGATCCATAGTTTGTGACTTGTATCTGCCGGAGAAAGAGCTTACATACTTTTAGGAGCAGATGACCCGTCACTCGCTATTACCAAGTGTGAGGCAGTTTGAAACTGGGAAGAAGAGACGCAGTAGTAGCGTTTGTTGTTGTACACGCAAGGATCGCCGTTACGATTTATACAGATGGAATTTTAAAATCTTTTTCACTGTTTATGACTCATGGGTATCCCAGATTTTTGGCAAAAGACGACACTTATTTTCAGCACGATGAACTATTTGAATGGGGCATCCTATCCTCTCAAGCTGATGAGAATGAATTTGCTATTGTCTGAAAGAATTGTAAATAGTGGCGGACTCGGTTGCCAGGAGACAAAGTGGGCCCACCTAAGATTACAATGCAAGCATTTAATTTTCATAAGGAATAAATAAAATTTAAAAAAAATATATATAGCAAAAAAATAAAAAATAAAAAGTACAATTTAATATGTTATGGAAAAAAATGTGTATTTCTTACCCATTAGTAATCTATGATTGGGAGGGTAATGGACAGCGGCTCGAATTGAGGAATCGGAGAGCCGAGTTCGAATTCCAATTAAATCCATTATATTCACTTACGTGCTAATACTCTTGAGAAAGGTATGGATCACCTTCTTCTCCCCCAGCTATGGGTAAATAGCAGGACAGACCGGGTTCTATAGCGTTGGATGGCAACTGCTACATAAAGAAATAACAATCTGCCTCGTCAGTCATGTATCGAAAGATACATGATCGTCTAAGCCTGTATATGGCACACAACTGAATGAATCCATGGTTAGTAATCCATGATAACTGATTACAGTGTACACATGCTGTACATATTGCTAGCAGTATATACCAAAGAATGTTATAATGTACGTTTTTTTATTTCAATTTTATTTTAATTTGTAGATATTTTAAATATTTTACTGTACAATTTAAACTGTGACATATAGATCAAAAGCATTTACATTATTTACATTGTTCGGACAGTTGTCCTCTTCTTTGTTGTCACATTCTCAACGTTTCAGCCGTTGTACGCTCCGGCCTTCTTCAGCTGACTGGAATTTCGAACAGAACCCGTTATTTCATCCATCGGGTTAGATAATTTTAGTTCCACGTGCCATGTTTCTTCCGGGTATCCCATTTATCTCCTTTTAACTCAACCCCCCTCTTTTATCCACTGGGCCATGTGTCCTCGAAGACACATGGCCCAGTGGATAAAAGAGGGGGTTGAATACAGTGGCTTGACCCAAATATTTGTGAGTACAATACAGGGCTACGGCCGTGGTGAACAAAAAACCTAGGAGAGATGAGTTAAAAAGAGATAACTGAGACATTCGGAAGTGGTATTATTATTATTATTATTATTATTATTAAGGCCCTCGACAAAATCCAGAGACGGATATGCAATGTGTTTGAACCTGATCTGACTCTCACAGACGTGACGTCGCTTCCCTCTGACTTTTCTACAAATACTTTCACGGTAACTGCTCCGACGAGCTACATACGTTGGTTCGCAAACAGCATAAATTTAAATATGCTACTAGCTTGGTATCTCTGTCCTGTCGAAACGGTTGAATCTATCCGTCTCTTCTACTCCAATAGGTTCATGTCTAGCACTTCCCGCCTGTGGAACTCCCTTCCTCTTACTTGCTTCCTTGATAGCTATAATCTCCAAATATTCA